AAAAAAAAAAAAAAAAAAAAAAAAAGAAAGAAATAACTTTAAATAAAAAGCTTATATGAGATTATGCCATCTCATATTTTCAAGTTAACATTGTTCAACGTGGTCTTTTCTCTCAACTATCATGGTCATCCTTCCTCATACATACGGATGACCAAACTCATATTTTAAGGCTGTAGATATTTCATTGCATAGGGATGTACCATCCTGTATTAATCCACCCCCCAATTAATCTGCCTAATTGATATATATTTTGGTGGCTTCCAATTCCAATTTTTGCAGGTACAAACAGTGCTACAGTGAATATTCTTTTTTTTTTTTTGAGATGGAGTTTCACTCTTGTTGCCCAAACTGGAGTGCAATGGCACGATTCCAGCTCACCACAACTTCTGCCTCCCGGGTTCAAGTGATTCTCCTGCCTCAGCCTCCTAAGTAACTGGGATTACAGGCATGCGCCACTAAGCCTGACTAATTTTGTATTTTTAGTATAGATGGGGTTTCTCCATGTTGGTCAGTTGGTCTCGAACTCCCAACCTCAGGTGATGTGCCTGCTTCAGCCTCCCAAAGTTCTGGGATTACAGGCGTGAGCCACCATGCCCAGCCAAGTAAATATTCTTATACGAATATCTTCAGGCTGATATGCAACTATTTCTTAACTTGGATTCCTAGAAGTACATTTGCTGGATCAAGTACGTACACATTTTGAAATATTGGTCAAGACTATAAAAATGCCCCCCCAAGAAGACTGTACCAACTCACTCTCCCACCTGCCATATGTTTTCCCCCTGCGTGATGACAGGGAGTGGCATATCCCTTTTGTTTTAGTTTGCATTTCCTGGATTATTTGTTAGTGAGAGAGAGCAGAAGTGGATTATTTATAACTAAGTTTACACACAGAATTACCTGGAGATACAAAAAGAAAAATACCGAGTTCTTCTCTAAAAGAAACTGATAACCTAGTTAAAGGGAAAATGTTTCATGTCTACCACAAATTGAAGTTCTTATATTTAGTGCCAGGACATCTAACACTGCGTTCAATCAAGATGTCAATGCCTGCAGCTTGAGACCTTTGCACAGAAGGTGTCTGGGGTCATGGTTTGTGAAGATTAACCTGCCACCAGTGGGTGGGTGGATAAAAACTAATATTTATTGGGATCAAAATGAGCAGAAGCTTTATTCATTTAATTCCCACAGCCCTGTGAGGCAGGTGAAATCATCCCCATTTTATGGATGAGGAAACTGAGGTTCAATTGGTTCAATAGCATGCAGAAGGTCACTCAAACTGATGAACAGTGCAGCTGAGATGCGAACTCAAGACTGAAAACTCAGAGTATGGGTTTTTAACCAAATACCACAGGGCTTCACTACAGAAGAAAGAAAGAGTTTTCAAAAATAAAATGTAGAGTTGAGTGCCACCTTGGATATGAGGGACTGGGGAAGAGTCAAGAACTCCCAGGCTTCCCTCTGGCTGTCAGTAGCAGTAGGTCCTGGCAGTGGGAGCTGGGCCATCGGAGGTGGTGCCTGAAGTGGGGCAGGCACAAAATGGATTCTGGGGCGAGCCACAGAAAAAAAGAGATTTTGACGGGAGTGGTGGCTGAGTGTGGGGAGATATGAGCAGGGGACCAGGCCTGGAGCCTGGGCAGCCCACGATTGGACACTAGGAGAAGAAAAGGAGCCAGTGGAGGAGACACTGAGGCTAGGGGTGGGGATGGCACTGGGAAGGCCGGGCTCCACCTGGCACTCTGGGGAGCTGCTGGCAGGGGGTCACACAGAGAGCTCAAGCTGCCTTACCAGCAAATGCCTCTTTCTGACCAGGGGCCGTGAAATAAAGGGACGCGGATGAGTAACTGGTTTCTGGTCCCTGCCAACCCAGGAAGCCAGCGCCCACCCTGCCTCACATTCCCTGCGTGCTACGCTCAGCCTTCCAAGCAAAACCAGCTGAGACCAGCACCTGCCAGGTCTGAATCCGCAGCTCCAAGTTCTGGGGGTAGGGGTGGGGGTCAGCCAAGGAAGTCTGACTTCTCGGGGTCAAAAGTAGGGAGAACAGCAGGGAGGCTCACCCTGAGCCCGGCAGGCAGCCCTTCCTTCTCCTCCCTTTCAGCAAAGAAAGGCAGAGAAAAACGTGTTTTTATAAATAGCTCCAGCCCCAGCAGATTTGTAAATTCAGTGGGTTTTTTTGTGTCAATGACATCACCTTCCTCCCCATGGCAACCCCCGACGATATCAAAATTGCCAAGCAACGTTGGAGCAGCTCGGCACCCCAAACGAGCAGGTCGATGCCTGAGGATTTAATGGAGAAATCCCAAAGTGAGCCGGGGCGAACTGTGGAGGAGGGGCGCGCCGCGGCCCGAGCCGCCGGGCCCTGATGGGCGGGAGCGGGGTGGAGCGGCAGCGCCTGCCACGCAGCCCTGGGCGCTGGGCTCCGCGGCCGCGCTCCCGAGACAGCCGCGGGTCCAGGCAGGTGGGGGAGGGCGCTGCTCCCGTCCTGAGGTGCCAGGAGCCACCAGCAGCCATCCAGGTGACTAAGCCGGCCCACAGGCATTGAGTCACCACCCGCCTCGAGCTGTTCCTGCTTCTCCTTTGCATCTGATTATTTTGGGAGCTGGAAACTTGGAGCTGCACCTGAGTCCCGCCCCTTCTAGCTCCCCCCTCCCTACCTTGGGCTCCAGGAAGATGGGACGTGCTGTGAGTCTGCTCCCACCCCCTAAAGATATGGAAGATGCTGTGGGGGCCAGAGGTGCCCACGGGGCTGTGGCAGCAGGCAGAGTGCAATAGCAGATATGGTGGTCAGGCTGCCGCTGTGTGTCCTCTGGAGGTGTCGGGACAGAAGGGCGGTCTTGTTCGAGATGACTGGAGTCCTTCCGGGCTGGCTCTGAACTCATCTCCCACGGGGATGTTTCTGTAAAGGAGTGGCTTCTGGGGTCGGAGTGGCATTTGGAGAGCGAGGCTGGATTGGCTTAGGCTGGCCTGGGCAGGTAGGTGGCTCCGTGCTGGGCGTGGACCCACGTGTGTGTGAGTGCAAGAGCGTGTAAGCCGGGGTGTGTGCCATCGCTCTGCTGGGGCAGCAGCTGGGTCCAGCAGAGAGCTGGCTGGAGGCTTGACAGCAGTTTATCCTAATTGATGCTGGGTGGGCGCAGGCCCTGAGATGGGCGTCAGGGAGAGGGGACGCCAGACACACGGCCTGAGCAGGGTGAGGAGCAGCTGCCAGCCCCGGCAGGCCCAGGCCCTGTCTGGGTGCACAGGACAGAGACACAGCAAGATGCCCAGGTAGGAAGCCGTCCGGAGGGGCTGGCCAAGGGTGGGAGCTCATCACCCGGGGGCTGGACAGACCATCAGCTGCCCCCTCATTCTGGCAGGCCTGGGTACCAAGGAAACAGCTTCCTACCGAGAACCTTGTCACTCTCCCATGCAGGGCCAGGCAGCACCCATGTGCGTCTCTGCTGAGCTCACAGGGACACATTCAGTGAGAAGGGCGCTGGCCAGGGCATGGCTTCCCACAGTCAGGACCCAGTGGGTGCCACTCTCAAGCCCCTGGTCCCCACAGGGCATGCCCCAGTGTGTGTCAGGAGAAGGGGGGAGGTCCCACCTCCCCCACACAGCTGGCAGCTTTGCGGGCACACCGGTGAGTAAGCTGCTGGAGGGAGGGGGGCTGTGTGCCCACAGAGGCAGGACCACACCAACCAGGAGCCTTCAGGAGAAGAGGCTGGGAGAGAAAAGCACTGAGGTTTCTTTTCCTTTTTTTTTTCTTCTATTTTGCCTAAAGGGAGTGCCGCTTCCTGGGTTAGAGACAAGCACCAGCCTGCAGTGGAGAACGTGGGGCCCCGCTGCCCAGAAGCAGCAGCCACGGTAAGGTCCCCACTGCCGCTGCATGCTCAGGCTTCCTGGGTTAGGGACAGGAGTGCCCAGGTGTCCAGGCTGCCCCCCCATCTGGTACAGGGTGGCTAACTCCACAGCTGTGGGTTCCTGGGTCAAGGAGCCCTATCCCCACCCAACCTGCACCCCCTTTCCAGATTGACTGTGAAACAATCCAATCCCAGCTGCACTCTGGCTCCCCAGCTAGAGGGAGAGATGCTTGTATATGCTGTTCCTGCAGGTGCTTCCTGCACCTTCTGGGCAAAGCCAGTGCCACCAGGCCACCCCTCTACAAGGCCTCTCTCGCCTTATCGCCTCAGGGACATTTCCCTCGCATATTCATTCCACAAATACTTAGCGCATACTGCTGGGTCCCGGGCTCCAAGTCACACCGTTTTGCTGGGCATGACCTGGCACAGATTCTGACTCTGAAACTCAGTATCAGGGCAGGTTCAGGGAACTGCCTGGCCAAGCGTGGTCACTCCTCACAGGCCTTGGGCTCCCCACCTCTGCTGCAGGGAGGATGACCTGGTCAGCTTCAGGGACATCGGGCCCAGTGAGCTTGGGCCTATAAAACACTGGGCCCACCAGGAAGAAGGCTAATGTCCTGCAGGCTCCAGTTGTCCTTTCCCTGGCATCGTACACCAAGAGGTTGATGCAGTTCTGCTT